AAAACACTGTCTTCACTAGTGCCCTCATTGGGGCCTACCACAGCATATGTCTGACCGAGTTAAATATTCAGCAAGTCAGGGCCTCGTTAGACCCTCCTTGGAAAATCCTCAGGAATTAGGATGAAGTCCTTGGAAAATTTTTCGGTTTTCGGCGTCATCGTTACACCGCGTCCTAATTCAATGGGTCCCAAGGAAAACCCTTGGAGGTCTCCAACGGCCAATTTCATACGCATACACGCGGCCGCGGGGGTGGATGTCCATCATCGTGCTGGGATGCCTGTGCGTCCTCGGGCGTGGTCCAATGGCGACGGTAGGGAGGCCTACCGGGCTGACGAAAGAAAAGGGCGCCAACATCCCCGTTCCAATTTCAAATTTTGAACCCTCCGTTGTGACACATCCGTGTGTCAGGCGTCCCTACGGCTGGCCTGGAGACTGGGGTGAAACGTCTGTGCAGAGGAGTGATGGCGGCCATGGCTTAAAAGGCGGGCATTGGAATGTTGGGTGACGTAGCGTGCATGCGTAACGGTTCTCTACTGCGACGTCGCCTTTGTGTTCCGCATGCTCTTCGGACCGTCACAGCTTAGCGCGAACGTAACGCTTCCATGAAATGTAGAGAGTGCGAGCGCGGTCCCCATCGATGTGCAGAGGGTGCAACGAGGGCGCCAACGGGCGAACGACTGGTGGGTGCTTGCCGATGGAACGAGAGCTCCCGGGTGGTGCAAAGGCATTGAGAGCTCCCGGGTGGTGCAAAGGCATTAACGGCATTGAAGAGAAACACGGTGGTCGCAGTTGTGTCAGTCGTCGCCATGTGTTATCACATTGAGAGAACAACTCGCCTGATGATGAGATTGTTCGTTCGCAGGCAGAGGCAGTTGATGCAACAAGTGATGGATGCACCCGATTGTGTGTCGTTATCGGAATCCATTGTGCAATTCTGCGCGCCATGGCATCGGGTGTGATCTCGTGGGCGACGCCGAGACGGTGGATGAGGAGAAGGACGGGAGGGATATGGAAGAATCTCCGACAGGTTGACGACACGGCGGAGGGCTACTACAAGGAGAAGCTGTGGAATGGAGTAGTCAATGGCGAGCGTAGGCTGTCTGCTGGAGTTTTCCCACCTGTTCATCGTCGTCTTCCTCACCGTTCACTGCGTTCAGTGTTTCTGTCTGCTGCCATGACCCCACACAACAACGCACACGTGGAACAACACGACAAGGAGCAGGAGAAGAGTGGCCAGCAGCAGGAGCGGGAACCGCCGGAGGACGTCTGCCATGAATCGCAGCAAACAAAGCTTGCATCAATGCGCCCGACAATAGTTGACAAAACACGCTAGGCAGATGACTGCAATTGGCTGACAGTGCTTCAACATTGCTTGTAGAAAAATAAAAAAATTCGACCGTTGGACACCACGGTCGGCGATGCGCGCATGAAAAACCCTGCTTCGTGAAGCACCTTGCAATTGAAGAACCACCTCCACGCATTTCCACGCCAACGGTAACGGTGGAAGGCCGTTGGGGCCCCGTCGGGTACTGGAGGCCAGCTATGTCCGCCTAATGGACCACAGACGACCTGTGCACCAACATCAACTCCAAATTTTACTGTCGGCACTCGCTCCAGAACACTCCGTCAATCACGGTTCCTTGAACGCGAGGACCCCTTGAATCCAAGGACGTTTTGGCTGGGGATTCTGAGGAATCCGAGGAAATCTCTCGGGAGCGTTTTCACATTCATTCAAGGAATTTGGTGAATTAGGACGCGGTGTAACGATGCCGATTTCCTAAAAATCAGATTTCCAAGGAGGGTCTAACGAGGCCCTCACTCAGGCTATCGTTCAGGTGGTGTCAACAACATATACACAAACTGAGCAAATGATCTCACTCCTATTTCAATCAGTTCTCGGACAGCAGCAAAAAAAACAGAACGGAAACGGTAGACTACTACTGTTCTAGTCTACAGTTGTCTGTCAGGTGTTAGCAGTCTATCCACCTCAACTAATCAAAAAAATAAAAGTAAATCACTTGCACAGATGCATCCGAAAATGGAATAATAATAATAACAATAATAATAATAATGATAATTAGGGATAATTTGCAAAATACCCTCATAAGTTGAGATATATGCCAAAATGCCCTTGAAAGATGTGGGTAGAGCCAAATGCCCTTTTGGGCCAAAATCTTTGTAATGTGCCCCTCTCAAGCAGGTGGGCAACTTTGCAATCTGGACCTCCCCGTTTGGGCCTTGGCCTTTTGCAATAGCTAGGAGAAGTAGGCAAGTACTGAGGCATTTTGCAAAGTTGGACGGTACCTGGTAGGGGTATATTGCAAAGATGGGGGTCCAACCGACGCCAGGAGTATTTCATAAATATTTATTTCGTCAGAGGGGCATTCCACTCTACCCGTATCTTTTAGGGGCATTTTGGCATGTATCTCAATTTATGGGGGCATTTTGCAAATTATCCCTAATAATAATAGGAACAATCGAGCCCCAACTGGAAAGGAACCTTCCCTCCCTTGTACCCGACGTCCTGATTGCATCAACAGAGCAGTGGTGTCTACCGTGTGCAAACGGCCCACCCCTGTGCCCAGGTAATGCAGAGGAAGCCAGACTCGTCCGTACTATTTTTATCCTCGCATACGGTGCGAGTTGGTTTCCCCACCGAGGTATCTTTAACGACGGTCCGGTGCACGTCGATCCCCCATAAGGCTGACTCACCTCACACCCCTCTATGCGCAGCAAGAGCTCAAAGGACAATGCAGCAAAGCATGAGTGTTTTACTCCCGTGGGTTGGCATGGTGACTGTGATCGTGACCCGTGCTTCGTCCAGGGCCCTTCAGAGGCACCGCCCTCTCCCACCAGATGCGCCACCAGGAAGAATGTTGACTCTCAAGGTAGAGCGCTCACGACTCCTGAACCAAGAGAGGACTCTCAAGTCGAACTCTCTTCCTCATGGTAAGAGGAGATTGAGGCGGGAAGATAAGGTAAGGGAACAACGTACCTGAAGATAGCTGCCCCCAACCACAAATTTCTCACCTATTTAGCCGACGTGCATTTTAATGACCGGTCATAGCCTCGGTACCACCCACAATGTAATGCAGTGCCAACTACATCATGCCCTCATCACTCCACATACACCTGCTGTCGCCACATCCTTCCGGTCCCACTCCCCTCTACCCAGGAGGGACTAATCAAGCCAGTGTCAATGTATCCTCATTGCGGAGAAGCTTCGTCAGCGCACCAAGTAAAAGAGACACCAGCGCCGGTAACGGCGATATCGAACCAGCTCCGATACCAAATTGCAAGGAGTGAGAGCGACAGACAGAAATCCAAATTGCAAAATCACGCTGCAGACCAGGTAGTCAAGAACCAGGCAGAAAGCATAATGCACTGAGATATAAGCCAAATAAGACTAATACGATGAACTCAAATGTCAACATCGACTCTCTCTCGCCACACCAACACAGTATCCAATGTCGCTTTTCCCGATTGGCGCTCAGCGCCCACCCTATACTACTCAGCCTAGACTAGCCTACTCTGTGTTCATGCAACAGGAGTCACTTCGAAGCTGAAGGCCAATGTGATTGACGACGTCGCCAATGTAATTGACGACGTCGCCAATGCAGACTGCCGGCATACACCAGGTGGGTGTCTCTCTCCTCCCCTCATCACCACCTGTCCTCCCACAGCATGCGTCTCCTACCCGAAGACCACCATCGCCATCACCCGCATGCGCCCCGCAGCCACCGCAGCGCCCCTCTCACCTCTCAGCGGACTTTCGAAGCAAAGGGGGATGGAATGCGAGGACTTTGCCCTTACAGTGGCCGCTTTCGCAATGATGCAGCAGCGTGGCCGCAATGCGCAACTAGGCCAGAATATCCCTGGGCAGGGGCAAGCACTTTCCTTGATGGAAAGTTCGCCCTGCTTCGGCCTCCGCTGAGCCTGCTGGGCTGGGGCCCAGTAGCTTCATGTTGGGCCAAAGTGTCTGCACCCAGGCCAACGCCGACAGTTGCCTGAGATCGCAGCTTCAAGATGCGCCCAACCACCCCACACATCCTGTGACGTGTTCCCAGCTTTCTGATAGGCCGAGAGGCCTGCTTCCACCCACAAGCCTCCAGGAACCTGGAAGCTTCCTCGAAAAATCTGATTCTCACGAGCAGGGCTTCTGTAACAAACTGGCGTGTGGCAACTGTCTGCCGCCCACCATGCAGAAATGGCATAACTGGGATCCCATGTCGAATACAGGCCCGCCTTCACTTAGGCCGGGCACGCAACTTGCTTGGCGGGGGGGGGCCTTGGGCATTGAAAAACGGCAAACTCCTCGCAGCCACTGTGAGGGCAAAGTCCTCGCAGCTGCAATTAACAGCAACGGTAACGAGAGCATCGAATGGTGCAAAACAGAGAGCTAGGTTATCACACGCAATTCCCATGAACATCCAAGCTTGAAAATACACTCAGAGAAGCAACTGAGCCAATCTCAGTTGGTACACCCGTGAACTGTTGAAATATGGACCTGAGTTCGAATCCAGATGGAGCCATACGAACGAATTAACCCCGAAACAATGCAGCTTGATAATGAATGCATACAAGCTACTCCCCTTCTGGGCTACAAATGGGGCCACGGGGGTCATGTTGGTGGCCAGGCAAGGTCCCCMCCCAAAAAAAAAAAAAAAAAGTATTAAGAAAAAACTATGCTATGCAGAATAATAAACTGAACAACGTTTGGGGTCAGCGGTCTAGCTCAGTTGGTTGAGCATGCAAGCGGTATTCAGGAGGTTGTGGGTTCTATCCCCCACGGCCGCCTGCGGCAGGTTTCGTGTTTACCAGCTGTGAAGGTCGCTTGATCCCTTGGCCGGTCTTGGCAGGAGTCTGGGTTCCATGCATCCTTGTCCGTGCCATCCGCCGCTGGGGGTTAGGAGCCTAGGTACTAGTTAACAAAACAAGAAAAAAACAAAAAAACAAAAACTGAACAACGTTTGCCTCAGACTCGACATCGAAATTCTTTACCAAATTGTTTGGTTTTGTTTTTCGTTTTTAGCGCACGTGCACAGCCGGGCAAGTGGTCCCGGGCCACCCTGGTAGCCTAGCCAACCTTTATGCGCGGGGGGGGAAGAACACTCAGAACGAGCAAGAGTAATAGGGACAGCCAAAGCACCAAACCTGGCACAGTCTGAAGCGGCTCGTCACCAGCCTCTTGTTGCAGGTAATAAGCCCCCTTTCTCTGGATGAACTTGCTGGGCTTGGGGGCATATCGAGCACCATCTGGCAGATTTATCAGACACCCGATCACATCGCCCTCACCGTATGGCTCGCCATACGGCAATCGGTACCCTTCGTGCACCTTTACTCCTTCCAGATCGCGATACGAATACCCATTCTGGTCATACCCAACAGGCGCTTGAACATCTCCCTTCTGATTGCACCATCCGAGTCGTGTGTGGCCCGTTTTCCCCAGATGGTCCACCTTGATCTCGAAGTACCACACTCCCTCAACAACTCCTCGAGTAGCCCTCACCATCCTATAGCCTTTCCAGCTCGTTGCGGTCAGACCGTCTTGTCCTATTTGAATTTGACTGGCCTTCTGTGTTTTCGACAGCATGATGGGCTCCCCCGGCCGCTCATCAGGATCCATCAAATTGGGAGCTGGGTTTAACGCCACCATATTCGAGATGTCAGGCCTGTCCATGCTGCTCCGTCCGTGGCTCAGCCGCTGATTACTAACAGACCCTCCACCCTTGCCAGCTCCCCCTCGTTTTGCTCCCCGTTTGCCCACTTTAGTCCAGCACCCAGACCCCTTCTTCTTCACTCGCCTCGTCACCGTCGCACCTTCGTCCGACACATCCATGTTTCCATTCGATTTCCTCTTCCTTCGCCCACCTGCCTGCCTTGCTTCGACATCTGCTCCTCTGCTGCTCCCGTTTGTTGCTGCTTGTCCTTCTCCTTCCTCCCTCTCTTCTCCATCATGCTCTCTCGAACCACTTCCATCCGTGATACCCTTATCCGATGCCTCAACGTCTAGCCTCCCTGTCCCAGCTTCTGCCAGATCTTCCGCTCCTTCCTCGCCGTAATCAACATGCTCTGCCATCGTGCCATCAACCAGAGGAGCCTTCTCTGCCTCTATCTGCTGCTCCCTCACATCTGTGTCCGTTAGCTCGTCGTCTTCCCCACCTTTCATAACCTCCTCCCTTGCTTCCTCACACTCTTCGATCTGGTCAACCTCCCGAGGCGCGCCACCTCCTTCTCCCTCTTCACCCCTTTTCTCATTCATGCTCCCCATGGACCCTTCCAGCAGCTGACTCCAGCTCCTGTTGGGATTGGACCTATTTTCCTGCAATGGGTTCTCACCACACTCGCCCGCCATCTGCCTGTCAATGAACTCTTGGCCAGCAGCCGTTCTCTTCTCATGCTCTTCATCGTCATCGTCGTCCTCCTCCTCCTCCTCCTCCTCCTCCTCCTCCTCCTCCTCAACATTATTATGACCGCCATTGTCTTCTGCACAAGCTTCATACAAGTCTCTACTTTCTTGGACCCTTCCTACTCCCTGCTCAGCACTCCGACCCATCATAGAGTGGTAGTGTCCTAACCAACCAGGAGTCAAGTTATCGACTCCTGTGACCGCAGTCTCCGCATCGCCTCCATCGTCTTCATCCTCCTGCTCATGGGCATTGCCATCCTCTTCTCTGCCGAGGTGCTCTCCACCATTGCACTCATCCAGCTCCCTATTTTTGTCCTCTCTCGTCTCCTCGCTATCCTCCTCCACAGCCGCAATCACTTCGCCCCCATTCGGCAGTCTTGTTCGGCTTACCATGCTTCCCTGAGGATAATCGCCATGCCACACCTGCACTCGTTCTCCAGAGACATCACCTCTCGACGATGGGCTGCCCACAGCCATCCCCACATGTTGTGCCTCCTCAATCTGCTCCTGCCACTCAACACCCCAATGGCCCGGCCGCTGTTGGTGCCTCCCAGCAAAAACAGTGCTGGGAGGAGGAGAAGGAGGCCACTTACCTCCTTCCATATCTGACCACCACCTCCGCCGCCGCCGCCTCTTCTGCGTCCTCCTCCTCACTAAGTCTTCTGAGGATCACCAACCGATGTCGATCAGGGGCCTCCACGCCCCTATTCGTACTCGTTGGCAGGACAGGGCACTCTCTCTTTTCTATCTGGTTGGCCACCAGAGAAATCAATAGTGCACTGGCGTAACAGCCAAAGAACCTCACCTGCTCGCCATTTTTGCTTGTCTCCCCTCCTCCCAAGTTAACTCCACAAAGAGACGTACAGAAAACCTGGTCCAAAACAGCATCAGAGAAGCAACTAGTCTGGTCAGATTCCCTACAGCATGCCACCATGCCTAAAAAAGAAAGAAGCCCTTTTTCCACCTATATGTCAGAGAAATTATCAACCCAGAATCGATAGTGACTATCGGTTCGTCTGTCACCGACTATAGGCTCGTCTATCACCGACTATAGGCCCGTCTGTCACCGCCTACAGGCTCGTCTGTCACTGACCATAGGCTTGCCTGTCAGCAACTATAGCCTCATCTGTCACCGACTACAGGCTCGTTTGTCACCTGCCCTTCTTTCACACCCGCTGAGAAAGGTGCACTTGCCCATGGATTTCAAGGATTCTTATGAGTTCTAATGGAGCATATGGCAAAGCCTGTGACAACACGTGTTTGTTGCAGGGTTAGAAAAACATGCCTCATTCACTACAAAGGACTGCAGCCAATTTTCAAAGACCCTAGCATCCACCAATGGCCACAGGATGGTTGAGGGTCCGAATGGTCAGGTCCGAAGTTGGAAACCGACCAACTGACCAACTGACCAACCGACCACCCACCCACCCAACCGGACCGGCAAGACCAACCCGGCCGGACCAATGAATCGGACAAATCTATCGCACCAGCCCGACTGGCTGACCAACTAACTGGCCCGACCAATTAGACCAACTAGATGGTCTAGACAAGCTGGCCACCAGCCAACCAACCAGGCCAGCAAGACCGACCTGGCCGGACCAACCAATCGGACAAACCTATCGCACCAACCCAACTGGCTGACCAACTGACCGGACTGATTAGACCAACCAGATGGTCTAGACAAACTGACCAACCGGCCAGAGTAACCCGACAAATCCCTTATTCTGCTTGTCAGCTCCACTTCCTCGCCAAGAAAAGAATGGAGCCGAAAACCACCTCACCCTGGGGTGGGTGGAAAGATGAACGCTTCACAGCAATTGTGTCACCAGACGCCACGAAGTAACTGGCCAAGCAGTGGATTGAGCCCTTCCCTCTCCACACAAGCCAAGCTAATCAGTGAAGGTTGCTGGATGACGGGTAGGGCTAACACAGTAAAACTCRCACATCTGCCAAGCTCTTTAGCATCAACATCTCCAACTTCGGACCCCTGCAAAGGCTACTAGAGCACACGCGAGCCTCTAAGGCCTCACCGCACTCATCATTTTCTGAGGAAGATGCACTCGTGCTTCTCTGTTTCGACAGTAGTGTGGCGAGGCCCTATTATATTCCTTTAGGATTCCCCCATGCATTGCTTGGCTGCATCCAATATCGTTGTGAAACTCTTGCCTACCATGCACTCAGCTGGATGTTCCATGTCCTCCTCTCCCCCTTCTTCTTTCCGGCACCCCATCCTTGTTGTCTTTTTCAAGTCATTTTTCACATGATGCTGAATTGCTAATTGCTGTTCTACGAAAGGCGGTCGAATTGAACCGAAGTATTCTTGCAGCAGAAATGAACAAAAATCCAATTCCTCTTTAAGGGAAAAAAACAAAAAACAAAGAAAGGGTGTCTCCATTCCGATGCCACATGAGGACAGAGAATCGACGCTGGGACCTTGAGAGCAGGAAAAGGGCTGAATCATCCTTCAGTAAAGTACACCACTGGTTTGTGAGTCGTCCTCTCGCACAAGAGCAGTTAAATCTGGCTGAATTATTTTCCTTCCAAGTGGAATCGCCGAAGCCCTCCCTCGCCAAAGGAGTGAATTCTTTCCCTTCCAAGAGGAATCGCCGAAACCCTCCCTCGCCAAAGGAGTTGCAGTTGGATGGTTCCTGAGAGAGACCCCCAAGACGCTTCGATCCCTTCCCTAAGATGCTTCGATCTCTTTCCCAAGTCAATCCCCGCTGACTACCGAGTGTCAAGCATTAGCCCATAGCCCCATCCTCAAGGTTGGCTGGGGGGTCAGCTATACTGCGATGACACTTGCAACTCCTCGACCCTTGGATCCCTTCCCCAATTCAATTAATCACATCATGTGCAGCCCTTCTGCATGAATCAGGCCCCATTCTGATGCCAAATTCGAAGCCACAAGCGGTGAGTGCCCAAACGCCATGCCCGTTCTCTCTTTCGTGTCTGCCGCTTTTTTTCGGTTGTCGTAACAATGTCGTTCGAAAACATTATCGAGAAAGGGCTCTATTCAGGGTTCGATAAGAACACCCTCTAAATTGAGTCCTTACATTTTCTATTTTTTATGTTTTTATCGAGTCCTGGCATTGCTTGATGTCTCCGCTTCATTCGTGGGGAGTTGCATCTGGCAGAACCCCCACCCCTTGCTCCAGCGCACCCCCATTTACAGCTATCCCCCTCTTACTTGCTCCAGCGTTTTGAATCCTCAGGGCTGCCGTTGCAGCCCACCCACTCTAGAGGCCATCCTTCCGCAATGTTATGTCGCCTGCACCCCCCTCCTCCTCCTCCACCTCCTCCACCTCCTCCTCCCCCTCCGCCTCCCCCTCCTCCTTCTCTTTCTCCTCCTCCTACTCCCCCTCCTCCTTCTCTTTCTCCTCCTCCTACTCCCCTTCCTCCTTCTCTTTCTCCTCCTCCTACTCCCCCTCCTTCTTCAACTCCCACCCGCTATATCTTCCCTTTGCACTCACAGTGAGACTCGTACCCTACACCACCCCACCAGCGGGAAGAAGTGTCGGGGAAAGAAGGCTAACTGCCAATCAGTATATTATTATTCGACCAATCAACCTACTAGCCACTAATTCCCTCTCAAAAAAAAAAAACGACAAGAGAAAAAGGCAATAAGCAAAGGATTCTACAAGTCGCTCATCATTTTTTTTCTGATTGATCGATTGATTGATTGATTTGATTTGAATTGATTTGATTTGATTTGATTTGATTTGAGATGGATGGATGGATAATTCATTCATTCATTCATTCATTCATTCATTCATTCATTCATTCATGCATGCATTCATTGAATTGATTTGGTTGATAGACTGATTGCTGATTTGGTTGGTCGATCTATTCCTGTAATTGATTAGGTTGGTCCACGGATTGATTGATAGTGATTCATAATGATTAATCAACAGGATGGAGGAATGAATGGATGGATAGATTGATTGATTAATCGACCAGGCGACCAATGGATTTGACTCTCTCTCTCTCTCTCTCTCTCTCTCTCTCTCTCTCTCTCTCTCTCTCTCTCTCTCTCTCTCTCTCTCTCTCTCTCTCTCTCTCTCCCTTTTCGCCATCACACTGCTATCTCATAGGACAAGGCCAGCGACAAGACGGCGAAAGGTAAAAAGTCCAATAGCGGAAAGGAGGACGACGGACGAGGAGGAGGAAGGGGGAGCGGAGAATATAACAACAACGGGGGAACAATGTCCAAGGGTTGACAAGCAGGAAATCCGGAGGGATGAGGATGGGGGAGAAAGAAAAAACCGTGTTATTTTCTTCCCAATCTTTACATAGATGCTCTTCTCCTTTTTTTTTTTCCTTTTTTTTTTTCCTTTTTTTTTTCTGGGGGTTACCTTGACGAGCCACTCAGTGTAGTGACAATAAAGACAAGTGCGCTCTTCGACGACGACGTCGTGGCCGTCAGTGGTTAGACGTGTACTCGGCGTGGGCGAGAGGCGACGAGTGAGTCATTTCTCTCATCTGATGTGTACTCGGGTCGGTGTTAGTGAGGGCATACTCACACTACGACTTCGTCGACTGAGCTCGGGACATGATTGCGGTCAGATACATCCAGGTTGGGCCGGAAGTGCAGTCAGACATCTCGGAAAGTGCTACCATCTTCACCCGAATAGAACGCCTGGTCATTATTGCTGCACCTAATACAGCTACAATGACTGGGCGTTCTATTCGGGTGATAACTGGGCGTTCTATTCGGGTAAAGACGGTAGTGTGAGTACGCCCTCCCCTGAGAGGCGGGCTCTGTTTCCCTGTGCGCTGTGGGCATCTCCTCTGTTTCACTCTGCGGTGTCGGGATCCGGGTGGCCCTCGTCTCTGGACCTTGGTGTACAGCCTTAGGAGAATTGGAACTGAAACGGAACTGGAATTTCTTTTCTAGTGTTATTCTTTATTTCGATTTTTTATTTTAATTTGGTAAGGAATTTCGATATGAATATGGGGCAAAAGCTGTTCAGTGTATTTTTCTGCATAACATAGTTTCTTTTTCAGATTTTTTAGATTTTTAGATTTTTGTTTGATTTTGTTCTCTTCACAGGGACCTTTCTTGACCTTTGCCCGCCGGGGCCGCCCGGCCAACCAAGTCGACCCGCGCGGTCCGGTTCCTATCCCAGTTCGTTAGTCAATTAATTGATTGATTGATTGATTGGTTGACTGATTGATTGATTGATTGATTGACTGATAGATTGATTGATTGATTGACTGATTGATTGATTGATTAATCAAGTTTTTTCTTCTCTTTCCAGCGCGGTCCGGTTCGTAGCCCAGTTCGTTAGTGAATTGATTGATTGACTGATTGATTGATTGATTGATCAAACTTGTTCTTTTTTTTTCCCAAACGTGTGGTAACGGAAAAAAGAAAAACAGACTAACTGTCACGAAAGAGTCGGCAGGCGCGTATCGCAGAGAGAGCGCCCGACGTGATTGATTGATTGACTGATTGATTGATTGATTGATTTGAGTACGCTCCCCCGCGAGTGGAGGGCACAGATGGAAAAGACAAAGAAGTGGGGGATGGATCGCGCGTCCGCGCTGTGATTTCGTGCGCAATAGACAGGAGCCGAGATGTGGTCGCGCACGGCGTGAGAGAGAGAGAGAGAGGGGAGAGAGAGGGGGGGGGGAGTGAGAGGAGAGAAAGAGAGAGGGGACGGGACGAAGGGGGAGAGAGATAGAGAGAGGAGATGAGGGGAGAGTGACAGGGGAGGGGGCGAGGGAAGAGAGACAGAGGAGGGGACGAGGGGAGAGAGACAGAGGGGAGAGAGACAGAGGAGAGAGAGACAGAGAGGAGAGAAGGAGAGGTATTCAAGGAGATTGACGTCCTCGGTAGAACAGGCTGAGATAGCACCGGGGGAACGGGTCAGGGACCCGTTCCCGCTGCTCTTGCTGTTGATTCCACATAGATACACACACACCCGATCCCGCTGCTCTTGCTGCTGATTGCGCGGAGACGGAGAGAGAGAGAGACCCGATCACACTGCTCTTGCGGCTGATTACGGGGAGAGAGAGAAACAAGAGCGAGCGAGAGAGAGAGAGAGAGATGGAGAGAGAGAAAGAGAGAGAGAGAGAGAGGGAGAGAGAGAGAGAGAGAGAGAGAGAGCCGTGTCTGAGTATTCCCAAGGACTCGTTCCCACCGCTCTTGCCATTGATCCTACACACACACACACACACACACACACACAGACCCGATCCCGCTGCTCTTGCTGCTGATTGCGAGGAGAGAGAGAGGAGTCGTGTCTGTCTTTCGAAGAATTCAAATCCTGAATGCCCACGTCCTTCATTGCGTGCCCTTGGGAATACTCATGCGGACGAAAACGCGGTCAGATTGGATACATTCATAGACCTCCACAGTTCCATGAATGTAAGCATTGCTAAGGGCTACCTCGTTCGAAAAAGAAAAAAAAAGTGTAATCCCACCTGGTGAGACTTCATCATTTTAAACACGCACTCCTGATTTAAAAAACTGAAAAAAGGACGCATTTCTGCTACCACTCGCGGGCAGGGAGATCGAGATCACTCCCCCTGCTCCTCTCCAAATAGCACTCCCCCTGCTACTGCTACACCAAACCTCCCCTCCTCCCTAGGAATGGAAAAATGGCGGAGAAAAGAACAGCCTGCAGCAAAAGAGACGGGAGAATGAGAGAGAGAGAGAGAGAGAGAGAGAGAGAGAGAGAGAGAGAAAGAAAGAAAGAGAATAAGATAAACACAGAGAGCGAGAGAGAACGACAAAAAGAGAAAAAGACAGGTGACTTCTGTTTCCTTCTGTTCCTTCGATTTCGAATTTAACGAAACATGACCCTCCTGATCTGCAAATGTCTCTCCCCTGCCCATGCTGCCCGCCAAGTGTCCGCCCAGCCGCGGGCGTGGGCGCGGTGGGTCCACTTGTTCTTCTTAAAGGGCGACGGTTTTGAGGTGCCATCTGCATCGTCGAATTGACCGGGCCCATCATTTGGATATCCCTCCACAGCTCGCCAATAGTCTTCCTCCCCTCCTCCTTTCCCCCCCCCTCGTCTCTCTCTCTCTCTCTCTCTCTCTCTCTCTCTCTCTCTCTCTCTCTCTCTCNTCTCTCTCTCTCTCTCTCTCTCTCTCTCTCTCTCTCTCTCTCTCTCTCTCTCTCTCTCTCTCTCTCTCTCTCTCTGTGTCTGTGTGTGTGTGTGCACAGTAACACACTGCGGATCCGAGCGATGCCAGATGGCATTTCTCGATTTAAGCGTGTCATCCTTGCGCAGGGGCCATGCGAAACGGATGTCCCGAAAGACCGATGCCAAATGCCATGGATATCGTGCTTTTCTTTGCTTTTCTTTCTTTTTTCTTCTTTTTTTAACGCCATGGATATCGTGAATGCACGCATCAGAAGGACGAACTGGGAGGAGCTGAAACGACGAGGAGGAAGATGGGAGGACTAGGACGGGCGATGCAGGGAGAGAAGAAAGACACGGGTAACCAAGAAAAAGACACCCAACGATAGAATGGAGGTTTTCTTCCCCAGGAAAGGGGGGAAAAAACGAAAAAGAAAAAAGGCGCCAAACAAAAAAAGAAGACGCCGAAAAGAGGAGAGGAGCAGAGAGGGAGAGCACGGAGATCCTGGGGAGGCTGAGCGGCAATGGGGCAGTACGCATTGTCACTCACCTTCTTGCCGCTCAGCAACAGCCAGGCCCCGCGCCCCTTCTCCCTGTTGCATGGAGATCGCACGTCGAGCGGGCAACCACGGTGCTATTGCACCGTCCCCTGGATTGACGCAGGGCCCAACCCAGTACCGTGTGCAACACGCATTCTTTTCTTGGCTTTCCTTTGTCTCTGTTTCATTCGTCTGGACCCATCACGTGGATTCGAACCTGGGTCTATATTCAACAGTTGTCGGGTGTACCAACTGAGCGCTCGTTGAAGACATAGATGAGGAGGTGAGACACCATGGGCTAGCGCGAGCGCGCTAACCGGACGGACAGGCGAGGCCCTGTCCCACTCTGGTTGACTTCCTCATCACCCTCGAGGAAGGCGAGGGTCCCGCCTGTCATCACCCGCGACCTTCGTGGAATGGAGGATGGGAGATCCCCCTCGGATGCCCTTGGGCAATACGGCGCTGTTTGATGACGTAAGCACGATACACCCACGCGGGAGCGGAGGGGAAAAGGGACCACAGTGCCTGACGTGCCAGATACTCAGTGTTGGTTGGCCTATTGGCGGGAAAGTGGGGGAGCGGTTAGCGTGAAGAGGCGGGGCGACGGCCGACAGTCAACATGGAGGACGTAGTAGAGAAGATGGCGTGGAAAGACAATTTGCAACAACAAGCGGACGAGTGGTTGTAAGCCTTGAAGGAGGGAGAGCCTCAGCTGCAGGAGCTTGTGCGAGTGCTGTCCTCCACAGCAAATCATCCATCACAGGTTAATGGGGCCAGGATTTCGATGGATGATTGGCTGGAGGATATCTCCCAGCAAATGTTGGACATCATCTGGGCTTTAGAGGAGGGGCCGGATTCCCGGCTACATGACATCACCGATGGGGAGCAGGTGCGCAGACACATGCATAGGTGCTATGCTCTCTTCATCTATTCAGAGAGGGACGAGCACCGTCCGTCCCCTACTATAGCAGCGGAGGCGACGGCGAGTCGACAGGGGGGGAGGAGGCAGAGGCACTGTTTCATCCTCAAGCGCCTCAAGGTTGGATCGCGGGGACATCTGGCAATCTGCCTCTCCCAACGACATCACCGACAGTAATGACAGAGATAGGGGCGCTGGCAGCAGCAACAACGACAACAGCGGAAACAACAACAACAACAACAACAATAACAGCAGCAACATCAACAACAACGGAGACAGGGGCGCTGGCAGCAGCGACGATGACAACGGCGGCAACAGTAAAACTGCAACAACAACAACCGCAGCCGCATCAACAACAACAACACCAAGAGCGATCACCGGGGCAGAGGAGCTGACAGCCACGATGGCACCGGCGACAGCAAGTGGCAATAACAACGATTACACAAGAGGCAACATCAACAATAACAATAGCACAATGGTTAGAGCACCCTAGTCGAATGCGCATTGCCGTCTTATGTTGCAGGCTCGAATTCTCGGGCGCACTTCGGCCAGCGGGCCATTGCACCTGACCGTTACTAACCTTAGCTCAGTGGAAAGAGCACCAGCAGGGAATGTGCATTGTGGCCCCTGGTCGCAGGTTCGAATAGTCAGACCTGCGACCGCTCACCCAACCGGCAGAGCATCGTTCTCCAGGCGCAAGAAAAAGGCTGCAGCGGAACACCGAACATGCCACACCAGATCCCGTGCCCTTCTGAGAGGTTCATAGGTTGCGTTATACAAGACCATTTGCGTACCATTTGCGTCTCTACAGGGTCGTGGGGGGATGGGGGCAGTACAAGGGGTAAACTCAGTTCGCAGCCCGTCAGGGGTGCATTTTATCCCCCTGAGAATTTCAACGTCATTGAAATTGCAACGTCGGTGGTGGTTGGGGAAGGTGGGCATTTTGAGGTTTTAGGGCCTTGCAAGGGGGCGATGTCGAGCGCATCAGCTCCCGCCTTTTTCGCAAAAGCGAGAGCCCTCCCGGCCATGTCACGCAGGAGTAAAACAAAACAAATCATGAGCCAACTCGGGAACGACGCATAATAACCCCGCGAGCCACCAAGACGGTCGCGGTCACGTCACTCCTTTCGCCGCTCTAGCCGGGTGCGCCAGCTATACATCCGGTGGTCGCCTACGACAAGATAGGTTTTCGCGGGGCATAAGCTTTTTTCCCTAAGGGGCTGTCACCACCCTTAGGGGCGTATCCCTACCGACCTACTGACCCACATGCGAAAGTTTTTAAATGTAATTGCAGAGGTAGGTCAGTCGAGAGTGTTTGCTCGTTCGCTGTAGTATAGATACGCTTGGTTAACGCCAAGAGGACCCGAACGTTGTTTGTTCCTTAGGGCGCTGATCTCCTAAGTACAAAGCATACGTCGGTCGACTAGGACAGTCTCAACCAAGCGTAAAACCATAATTCATCCTAATCCCTTTTAGATATATCATTAAACCACCAGTACCTCCGAGTCTGTTTTTGCCGACCCTGATTTTCACTGCGCTCGGAGTTTTGCCGAGTCTGGGTCCCACTCCATTTCTTTATGGTACTCTCACGGGAAGAAAAAAAAAAAAGTTGCGGCCGTGAAAACTCACAAAACAAGAAAACAAAACAAAGCTCTGTGCGTGATTGCAGTTGTATACATTCTCGGAAGTGTTAGTGTGAGTGTGCCCTCAGTGAGGGCATCTCAGCCCCGTGGCCAGGTTGTCAGATTCCAGAAACGCAAAAAAAAAAAAAAGACATGAACACGGATTCGGCAGTGAAAATGACAAGATACATTCTCGTAAGTGTCAGTGTGATCAGGGTTACAATCCTCTGAGGGAACACAGCTCGAGCAGATCACAAAGTCAGATTGTCAGAAAAAAAAAAAAAAAAAAAAAAAAAAAAAAAACAAACAAACGGATTCGGCCTTGAAAACGGCTGGATACATCAGGGTTACAATCAACTGAGGAAACACAGCTAGAGCAAATCACGGATTTCACCCTGCCTCGTTCGCAGGGGACACATAACAAACAAAAGAGAAGCAAAAAAAAAAAAAAAAAAAGTTTCAAAATGTGACCGTCTTTGTTGTAAGATGCATTCAAGACTGTGAGCACGACCGCCTACAGTACCCTGTTCGACATCATTGCAATACAAAGGCCTTTTTTTTTTCCTTTTTTTTCCGTGCACGGGTAAAAGAAAACTACGATTTTGGGAACATTGTCGCCCCTGTGTCTGAACCCCGAAAACTTCGAGTACCGGTCAGGGCAACATAATTTTCCAACACTGGCGGAGGTACTGGTGGTTTAAGAAAAAAATAAAATATCAACATATAATCATATCAAAAGAAATTGACCGTAGTCGATAGAACGCATATCCCATCTGTAATGATAACTGAAGGAATTCAAATCATCATACGATATATCCAATCACACAAGGTCGAAATAAAATCCGACCATTCTGGGTCGGACTTCACAAAATAATCATACAGGAGTCAATGAGAAGTTGGCATTAGACAATACTCGATGCACCCGACAAGGTAGTCGGACAATCTTAGTTTTGACTTAATAAGATGCGCTGCCAAAGTTATTCATGTCATCCACCACCGACCTAAGATTGGACACGCACACACTTGTCTTCATCCGTTTCTAATATTTTTGGATGACAAACTTCTTTGCGAATGATTCTTGATCAGAGGCATTGCTTGAAGTGTTGCATGTCTCTCTCTCTAGGAAGTAGTCTATGATACTCCTCCTCGTCTGAGCACAAGACTCGGATCTCAAAAGTCGGACCGTCTCCACCGAATCGGCAAAGTACCCCCCCGTAAAACGGTCCACTCTGGATCGATAACAGAGTCGGCTCCTAAAGCAACGAACCACCGCCCCAGATTGTTCCTAGAGAGAAAACATATCTTCCCCAAGTAGATTTCACTTGTTTTTTTCCCTAATGAGTTCAAGGTAACTTAGACAAAAATAATCAAAGGAGACAGAAAATGAGAATCATTTAGACAAATACAGATAGTCAAGGTCATTTGGGATAAAAAAAGGTCAATCTTGGAAAAAAACTAAGTCCATTTGACCTCATCTGCTTTACTTCAATCGTATTCATTCTACGATACACGCTGAACAATTTTTTTCAAAATAACGAGTCTTTTTAACAATCAAGCAGATAAAAGGTAGAAAAAAGATATTTTTTTCTTCAACAGAAAAAAATTCAAGAATTAAAAATTCATTCTATACTAAAATTACATACTAAATTTCAAATTTTCATTCTATCTTAAAAAATGTCATTGCAATTTTAAAATTTTCCGTCTTACTTGAGAACTTTCCTTCCAATAATGGGGTATCCCTTCTTATTTGAACTGCATGCTAAAGATGAAATGAAAGTCTGGATGAGTTCATGAAATATTTTAATTGGACTGTCATTCTAAGTAAGGATTTTCAATCATAAATAGGTTAATCCAATTTCAACTAGAAGATATTTGTTGTAGTAGAATAAAAGTTTAATTAAAATATTTCATAAACTCGTCCAGACTTTCATTCCATCTTCAACAAATAGATGTAGTTGGAAGGGAAAGTTCATATTCAGACGGGAACTTATCAAATAAAACTGAAAATTTTAGAATTTGATAAACATTGGAATGATAATTTATAAATATGAAGAATTTTTTTTTTATGGAATGTTTTTTCAACTTTCATTTCTCGTAGGAATTTTTATGTTGATCTTTCCCAAATAGGCATAAATCAAACTCCTTTGCAAACATCCTTCTACCTGCCTGCACAACACGCAAGGAAAACAAGTTCAAAAGAAAACCATAGAATCTCATACTCAAGTCAAACATTTTCATTCACATGCATGACTCGCACAACTTTCCTCTACCTTTTCTTTTGAGTGAAGTTTGAATCGATTTTTTCAAGAAAGCCGAGTAGTATATCAATCAAAGGAAAAATTATCGTTGTAGAAAAATATGCGGCGTACATGAAAATACGCGGCTCACAACTTCACAAGTTGTAGTCGTTTCACTAAACGACGGTCCGCCGCCTTTTCCAAATGTCTCATCACACCAAGGCTAGGTCCACTGAAATGTATGAATGAGATAACCCTCAAAGCGGGTGCTCTCATTATCCAAACACACGTCCCCTCAACATCCCGGACAGTCTCAACGCAGTCCCTACTGCATCACGTCCTCCAAGGACACTCTCAAACCAAACGCAAGTCCACGTCACCTCTAATTACCACGTCCGCTTACGATAACCACACCAACATGTCGGTCCCGATTTCAAATTAGTCTCACCTGGTCCCAAAATAGTCCCAAATGGTCTCGGGCGGCCCCACACCATCACCCGCATCACCATATGGTCTAAAACTCAAAACCTCGCGCTCTTTGTGCCATAAAAAAAAATAAAGTTGGCCCTGGCTGAAAATCACATGCGCCGCGAGCCCCCAAAAAATAAAGATATCCTTCTGGCGCAAACCGTAAGTATCGCAACTCCAATAGCCGCTGCCTCGAGCAATCACTTCGCGCTCTCTTTATGCTACCGGTCTACGCACCACTGCCGCACAGACTCAATCGTGCACCAACACTAACCTAACCTATGGGCCACATTAGAATCCATCATAGTTGTCGCATACCACAAAAAATAAAGCGCGGAACTGCTGCTCGCCGCGCCGTCAAAACCGGTATCACACCGCCGTGCCAAAAAACATTAGCAGCAGTTTCCATCGAAGTGTCGCTTCCGCCGTACCAAATTTAGCAGGGTAACCTCACAAAAAACACATCGTCATTGTTGTGTTGCCAAACGATCAGCACCTCCCCTTAGGGATACCTTGATGTCACCATGCCACTAGTTCGGCAACACCCCCTCCATCAAAGTGATGTTGTCGCCACCGCTGAGAAAAACTGGCAGTGCTTCCGCACCACCGTCGTTAAAATCAGTGCCGCCGTCACAAAAATCCGGCAACGCTTCCACGTCACTGCCAAAAAATCACAGTTGCCACCGAAAAAAAATGACAGCGCTCCCGCAGTATGTCAGCAAAAATTGTCGTCGCCGCAAAAACCGCGCAGCATCTCCCCATCACTTCTCCAACTATGGCTGCCATGTGCAGCATAACCCCTACACCTTACAGAAAATGGCCACCGATGCCGAGTTGAACGAACAACACCTTCCCACCACCTCTCCAACTAAGGTTGTCGTCGCCATGATGGTCGCGCAGCACCTCCCCAGCACTTCACCAACTATGGCTGCCGTTGCTGTGATGGCCACGCAACACCTCCCTTGCGCTGCTGCCAACGGCCGCGGCTATGGCGACACGCGTCTCCACCAGCTATGTTGTAGCTACATCACTCCAGCGGCCTTCTCCCTCCTCGCAGAGATGATGGTTCAAGTTATGGCAACCTCCAACCTCAATCCTTCTACAAAACTCCACTCTCCACCTCTCTTCACTCTCCACCACAGCCAGCAGCCCCTCCTCCAGCAGCCAGCACTCACTCAAGTGGAATGCGAGCAGCATCAGCCACGAATGAATGTTGGTTGGCTGGCCGTTGGCTTCTTTTATAGTCAGCCGAGAGTTGAGGGCAGCAGCTTTGCCCTCAGCCAAAACTCGGATCAGGGTCTGACCCTTTATCTTAGACGAGATCAAGGGCTAAAAATCTTGATGTTCCCGTAGGGGAACCAAGTTCCAGGCCCTGGTAATGCATCTCGCCATCACCCCCAGCTGACGCAGCCAAAA